GACAGATTTAAAATACCATGGCAACCCCCAGAAATTGCCTTACAAGGTTAAAAATGGGGAGGGTTCCCAGTTTCGGGAATTCTTCACCCCTTTCCAAGAAAGTTTATGAATATTCCACCCCCAGCTAAACATATTATTAGGGATTAGCATAAAGAACAGACCCTAATCCTGGAGTGATGCTATTCCTCATTGGAGCAGTCTGCTCTCTACTGACTTTGAGAGTGTACTATACCTTCTATACTTTCTATACTCTGTCTTTAAACTCAGGGTCTCCTCCACTTATAGAGGAGAAGTATTCCTTCTCTGGAATGTACTATGCTTCAATAAACTTTGGCATTTTGCTTGCTTGCATCTGCTTGGTCTGCTCATTTGTTCCATCAACTCAGTACCAGTAAGCATTCTTCAGTACTGGGAACCAAGAACCAGGGAACACAGACCTGACATCTGGACCTCACACCTGACACTACCTTTTAAAATATGGGGTTTTTTTATCTATGGCTGCTCTCATGATTTTTCTGTGTCTCTAGTTTTCAACAGTCTTACTATGATATTCCTACATGTGTTTCCTTTGTGTTCCTGCTTGGAATTCACTGAGCTACTTGAATGGGTGATATCTTTCCACATTTTTGGAAAAAATTTCACCCACTGTGTCTTTTTGTATAACTTGACTCAATTCTCTTTTCCTCAAGTGGGATTCTATTTTAGGGATATCAGGCTTTTTGATATGTTCTGCACAGCATTTATCTTATTTTTTCAGTGCTTAGTTCTCTATGTACGTCAGTATGAGATTTTTATCATTGTCTCTTTTTTTCGTTAACTAATCCAGTATTCTGCACTATGAGGTCTATAATTTAAAAAGAGTTTACTGATTTTCTTAAGTATTTTGATTTTCAAATCTAGAACACACATTTGGTAACTTTTTATAAATTCCAATTTTCTGGGGAAATGAATCTACCTTCTTTCACATGGTTTGTTCGTATTTCTTCCATTTTCTCTAAAATACTAATCATGGTGGGAATTTGTGTGTATGTTTTAATTATCATCTTTTCCACTTTGTGGATCATCTCTTAGATAGCTTCTGACTTCTATTTTATTATCTTCATTGTTTTCATTTCTCTTTGTTTTTGTCCATAATGTTTTGCTTCTATGTGTGTGTGTGTGTGTGTGTGTGTGTTTACCATCTGATATACATTATATTTAACAGAACAATACATGTTCTGGGTGGTATTACCTTCTACTAGCAAAGTTTCCATCTTTCTTCTGTTTGCAAAATAGGCTGACTGACAACTCCAATATAATTTGGATTGGATTAGGTCAAAAATAGTATAACTTTAGTGAGACATATTTCTATTGAAAATATAGAATTTGTATTGAAAGTCCAAGTGTCTCTATATTCTAAGTTTGATACTCAATAAGTAATTGAGTTCTGATACTCAAAGCTTCAAATATCAGTTCTGTAGCCTATATCGCAAGCTCATTCGAAACCAGACAAATGTGTTAAAGGAGAGGCTGTACATGTGCTTGAGGCAAGCCTCCTTCCATCAGGTCTTTGTTTTCCAAGTACAGCAGGATTATATTTCTGTCTTTGGAAGCTTGACCCTATCTCCTCAATCTCTCATAGAAAACCTAAAATCAGAAAATGTGGCATAAGAACTGATTTTGAACTCGATGACCCTAAATTTCTAATTTATAAATCTTGTCTAGGCACTAAAGAGTTTTCATGTTTCTCTTTTCCTAATAGAGGTACCATAACTGAGTTGGCCAAACCTGATCCTTGATTTATATTCAGAAACATCAAGTGTTACAGGGGAAAAAGTGCTAACAGTTCAGAATTTTTCCCCTGCTTTGCATTTTTGAGGTCTTCTAATCTTTGTTTAAATACCTGCTGATGCATTTTTAAAAATTTTTAAAAATTGGCATTGTACAGTTTTCTTTTTTTTTCAGAAAAATCACTTACCTTCCCAAACTTA